TTCCAGTGCCCGTATTATACATAAACATAGGTAGTTTATTGTAACATCGTATTTTTTATATCAAACGTCAAGTGTTAGATGGAAAAAAAATTAAGGTTTAATTCATTTTATTTTCACCTTTTGAAATTAGCCACCGATATTTTAAGGTACCTAACTAATTAAAAATGTATAATATTTGACTTATTATCCTTTAAGTTTAACCTCTTATATAATTATTCAATATGTACAGTAAATATTTTTGAGTTAGGTGTTCCCAAAATTAATATTTATTGCGTTATAGGTACATCATTATTATAATGTAATGATAAATATAAAACATCATATAAATTATAAATACCTCGTATGAAATAATTTCTTTAAAGCTGGCTCTCCAATAACAGATACAAAATTCGACCAGGCTTGTGAGTTTTTTCTTTCCAATGCTCCATGAGGCCTATTTTCAGTGGGTTTGTCTTGTTTACCAGGAGATAAAAAATCACGAAACCCCCACGCAAAGTCCTCCAAGCATATTTGTCCGTCACCGTCACGATCTAAGTCTGAAAATATCACATCTGAATCGCTGGGTCCGATATCAAATTTGGCGCATAATTCTTGAAATTCTTCCGGACCAATTTTCCCTTGGCCATTCCGATCACACTCGTAGAATAAGTCTTCTAAATGGACGTCACTCATGATGTTTTCTTACTTGTGTGATAGCTCTTCCTTATGCACTACATGATACCTATTTGTATTTATCGACTAATATGTGTCATGGTAATAAAAACGATACCGATGATGATAAATAAGCACATGTAAATCATTTGTATAGTTATTAGTTACTAATAAAGTATTGATGACGAATATGCACTACTCGTACTCACTGTAACATAACAAGATGTTCTAAAACATACATACATATAAAAATATGACATATTTCATCACTAAAAATTGGTAAATATATTTTGTCAGTGAAATTTTTTACATCTATATACAATTTAGTCTATTACACAACGCAACGTCATTTATTTATTCATTGGCGCATGTTGCTTAAGCTGTTTAAACACTGTACGAATCATTGTATAAATAGTATCCATTATATTGTTTTACATGTTACAACCATAATACGACTTTGTCAAAATGAATATCATCGACTATTATTATTTGCCATTCTAATAAATTATACGAATCTATATGAACAGTTATTATCTATATTAAACTTTAATACTCTAAGATTCAATTTCTCTAAATATAAATTATACCTATTAAAAGCAATATTATAGAACAYGTATTATTTGTGWATTTAATAATTTAACCTTAATCCATATACAAAATTGAACATAAAATGAAATTATAATTTGAACTTAAAACATTTTTAAATGGAATCATTGTATCGATTATGAACCAAGTTTTTTTATATTTTATAAAAA